CCCCCCGAGAGCCACAAAGAGCTGTGCGCTGATTGGCTGCTCAGCCATCAACAGATGACTGACGCCAACAAAGAGCCCTTTAAGCGTCACGTGACCCCCGACTCAGGCCTCTGTCCACTCTTTGGTCAGTCTTTGGGTCCGAAAGGGAATGAATGCGTTTCCGAATGATTAAATCGAATGCAATCGCGATTGCAGTGAAATGTACGCAACATTCGCAATGAGTACAGATTATAAGCGCAGTTTGTGGACGCGTATTGGAGACTGCGCCTGCGCCGTGGAGTTGTTGTCACAGTATTGTCACTAATAGTGACGTGTGTTTACAACTCGTGAACTGAAGAGATGGACATTCGCTGCATTCTTCTGGTGTGCGCCCTCCTCTACCTCTCGTTACTGTGCTTCGTGTTCGCGGCGCCCGTTCTCGAGCCGAAGCCAGAAGAACACGACACGAGGGATGAGAGCAAGGATGAGGCGAAGATAAAGAGCGAGATCGACGAACTGGGTTTGGAGTACGGGCGCTATCTGCAACAGGTGGTGGAGGCGCTCGAGGAGGACAAGGAGTTCGCGAAGAAGCTGGAGAACGTGTCGCAGGACGAGATCAAGGTAGGGATAGTTGCGCCAATCACAGCCACTGACGCTTTTACTCCTAGAACGGCGCGATCGCGCGAGAGCTGGACTTTGTGTCGCATTCCGTGAGGAATAAGTTGGACGAACTGAAGCGCATCGAAATGGACAGACTGCGGGTGTTGGCGCGCAAAGAGCAAGCGCTGGAGGCGCGCGAAGGGGGTGAGGATGACTCGGGGCGGCGGTGGCGCACGCTGGGGGCGGACTCGCACTCTATTGGTTAACACTCTCTTCACTAACACTGACTGTGCATTTGAATTGAATGACTCACTCTGATTGGCTGTTTAGACGCGGAGCACGTGGACCACGCGAACCCGCACTCGTTCGAGGCGCAGGACCTGCAGAAGCTCATAGTGTCGGCGTCACGTGACCTGGAGGCGCTGGACGCGAAACGGCGGCACGACTTCAAAGAGTACGAGATGGAGAAGGAGTTGCGCTACGAAGAGGTGTTGGAGAGCGTGAACGCCAGCGAGAGACACGCCATCGAGGAGAGGAAGAAGGAGATGGAGGAGAAGCGGAAGACGCATGCGCGCGTCCACCACCCCGGCTCGAAGCAGCAGCTGGAGGAGGTGTGGGAGAGCAAAGACCACATGCCGCGCCAGGAGTTCGACCCGAAGGTGTTCTTCTCGATGCACGACGTCAATGGGGATGGGTTTCTGGACGCGCAGGAGGTGGAGGCGATTCTGGGCGTGGAGGTGCGGAAGATGTACGAGGGGGGCAATGGGGACCCGAACGAGATGCAGGAGGAATACCACAGGATGAGGGAACACATCTACAAGGAGGCGGACGTGAATCGGGACGGGTTGATCTCGAAGAAGGAGTTCCTGGAGTTCACGAAACGCATGGACTTCGAGCGGGACGACGAGTGGAAGGGCGTGGAGGAGACGAAGCAATACACGGACGAGGAGTTGCGGCAATATAAGCTGCAGCGCGAGCAGCAGCACCGGCAGCCCCAACACCAACAGCACCAGGAGCAGTACGACGCGTACCAACAATATGTGCCCCAATACTACCCCCAGGGCTATCACTACCCGCCGCCAGAGGTCAGTAGAGTCGCATTGCGTTGAACGCGAATAACTGATTGTTGTCGTTGTGCAGCACTTCCAGCCGAACGCCCAGCTGCACGCGCAGCAACAATACCAACAGCAACAGTTCCAACAACAGCAACACCACGCGCTCAACCAACAGCAGCAGCAGTACCAGCAACAACAATATGGTCACCAGGGGCAACCGCCGCCACAGCAG